TCATAACAGGATATTTCTTAAACATTTCTCCAATTTCTTCATGTTTTTTTCATCGAATAATTTTTGCGTTATCAAAGCGGCGGCGACTACATGACAACAATAATTTTCTTCGGAAATAGAAAACAGGTATATAAAAAAAACTATCATCCAAAATATAGGGTATAAAATACATCCAAGGTGAAATAAGCGAACAAAGCAGTTTAAAATGAAATGCGTAAGTAGTTGGAAAGTTTAAAAGCCATCGAGCACAAGAAGGGAACCCCTTGCTTAAAAAAAAAAGGTTTAATTTTAGTTAATTCTGTGAACATTGATCGACAACCATAAGCATTAAATCGCTATTAATATGGAAATCACACTACTATTAATATGCTTTTCAAAACAGCTTTTATATTCTTTCCAGGACACTAATTGTTAAGTGAAATATGTCATAAGCAGATCCTGTTTTTACCTAACAAAAAGCTATTACGAAAATAAATAAAGAAATATAATGAGGTGCCTTTTTTTTATTTATTTTTTTAATATTATCATTTACCAAACATGATTGCTGTAAAGTATTTAAACTTCAGCGGCGCAAACTAGTTCTGAAAGCGGTGGTCAGATTCCATCGTAAATGGAAATTCTATTCATTCATTATAAACCGAGAACGTTCTTAATGTAAAAAAGAAAGAAAAAAAAGGAATAAGTCCATAGAATAAATAAACAAAATCTAAAGAGGGAATCTATTTTCTAAGATGTAGTTTTTGTATTATTTTGTTTGAACAGGTATGTTTCTTTGTGAGTAACTATTTAAAGCGTTTTTCTTCAGTTAGACAGCTTATTATTTTGTCAAAATTTACAGCTTCTTTTTTATACTTAGTTTGTTGATTACTTTTCAAGTGATGTAGATTATTTGAGAGGTTATTGGCTTGTCTAAGAATGCAAGGCATTTAGATTTTGAAGGTTAAAACTTAATAAATATGAAACGCTACGTATTTTAAATTATAGTATCAAGCACAACTGAAATCCATCAAAAGTTTGATATAAAATTATTCAATCAGTTTTTAACAAACAAAAATTATCGTTTAGAAGTTATCTTATTTCCATTTGAAAATGTTTCTTAATTTTTTCCTGGTGCTAGTTTTAAGAAGGGTAAAAATTATTTTGGAAAATTATTTACAAAAATTAACGCTCTTATTTCCATTTGAAAATGTTTCTTAATGTTTTCCTGATGGTAGTTTTAAGTAGCGTAAAAATTACTTTGGAAAATTACTGACAAAAATTAACGTTTGGAAATTATCTTATTTCCCATTTGAAATTGTTTCTTAATTTTTTCATGATGGTAGTTTTAAGTAGCATAAAAATTATTTTGGAAAATTATTTTAATAGATTTTTTATTATTTCAAGAATATAAAAACTGTTAAATTTATTTTCTACCCTCTGAAGTATATTTTGAGAAATTGTAACTTATGGTTCTTAATTTTTTAAAAGAGATAAAATAATATCTTATTAGTGTTTATAAATTTTACTAGTAAAACAGACATTTTATAGAATAAAGATTCATTGATATAATTATAATTTTTAAAACCTGATTATTTTTATTATTATTTTTCTTGAAATAATTTTTTCTGTCTTTCTATCAAATTAAACATTCTTTTTACATATTTTCAACTTTTTCGATGCAGGAATTTAAATTCAAACTAAGTATTTATTTTCATTGATTTGTTTTTTAAAATCAGATTCCGCTATAAAAAAAAGTAATTCTAGCAAAAACTGACTTTTAATTTTAAAAAAATACATTTTTTTTTTTCCATTCGAAAAATCAGAGGTCTACAATTCACTATCCCTTGGTCGCAACGAGTCGAGTGAAAAAATTGTAGATGGCATCCTACATTTAAATAAAATTTAACCTGTTTTTTTTCTTTAATTTTATATTTTTAAGGGAAAAAAGTTTTGTTTAAACATAACATCTGAGCCAGTGGCTTAGGAGATAGAGCCTGGGTTATATCATTGAGATTCGTATGTCAATGATGTAATCCAGCTTCGAATTATAGCGGAGGCTGGATGATGCGAAATCTGTTTCCAGCTCGCACTGACCACAGAGCTAAGGTAAAATATCGTCAGTGGTGGACAGGTCAAGGGTTACAATTCCCTTGTCGTTGGGCTAACCATGGGAAGTTTCCGTGACTTTCTTCTCCATGTAGAGCAAGTGTGGATTAGTTCCATCAAAAAGTTCACCATGAAATCTAGTTTGTTCCAATACTAGATCAAAGAGTTCCTTTGTCTTCTGGGTTGGGATTAAAATTACAAGACTATGGAGTTGAGCTTTGATCGTCGTACATTTAGAACTGAGCCGGCTGTTATCAAATATAAAATATAACATTTAACCAGAACAGGTTTGAAACGTGATAATTATGCATTCATTAAAATTGTATACTTTTCTTTTAACCATTATATTATTTTCGATAGTAAAAATAAAGTCTTCTCGCTGCATAATTTTGACATTGAACTAATTTTATTTTATTTTATAACCGTCGTTGAACAGCCGATCCAATTTTATGAGTTTACGACTACTAATGTTCAACTCTGTAGTCAACTCTGTAATTTTGAACCCAATCCAGGAGACGAGGGAACTCCTGGATCGAGTACTAGGAGAAATTTGCCTTCGTGGTGGACTTTTTGATGGAGTTAACCCGCATTTGCGTTACATGGAGAGGAAGACCACGAGAACCTCCCTCTGTTAACCAGATGGCTAGGGGACATTGAACTAATTAGGAAGAACGAAATCCAAAAGAAGATTAAAATGAAATGATTCTGAATATGAACTCTCCAATTTCGAAGCGGAAAGAAAATCTCTCGCCGCAACACGTGTTCGTTTGGAAAACGAAACTAAACGCATTTTAAAGAATTATCCCTTATACTTAATTGTTACACATTGAATTCAATCATGAAAGGAAAAGCAAAATTGGTTTGGTAAAAAATTATTTTAGTTCATTGTTAAGTTAGTTTCAGAATCATTTATAAAAAAAGAAATTGAGTTAAAACTTATACAAATGATACTTGAAAATTGAAAACCATTGTACAATCCTTTTATAAATCTTCGAAAAAAAATTATAAATCATTAAAAAGACTAAAAAAACTAAACTAAAATTACGTAAGCTGAGATTTATTATTATTTTTCTTCTAATTACTTTTATACTTCATTTTGTATCGTATAACGAGGAGGGTTCATTCCGGGCCCTTATTAAAATAGGAAATAATAATTATTTTTTTTATTTTTTAAAAAATTAAAAGAATATTCTTACTTAACATAAACTTAATTCTTCATAGAATTTAAATTTAACTTACAGAAATCATTTTTATTTATTGGATTTTTACTAGAATTTCAATTCTTCATTAAAGCTATATACCATTATTAAAAACTAACAGTTGTACAAATATTTTGATGTTGAAAAATAACCGAAAAAAATCCTGTGGCAATAAACATGCATTCTACGGAACGAAACTCTCAGAAACTACTACAGTTAGAAAAATTTGTTATTTTTTATTAATTTGTTATTTTTTATTAATTTGTTCATTTTTAGGACGCTTCGATTCCTTCCTGTCTAATTTAATTTAAATTAGCCACAATTATCAAGGAAACAATAACCAAGGAAACAACAATAACAATACCAAAGAAAACTGTTTAAAAATTCTCTCTACATTTTATAGTTTATTTAATTCCCACAAAATAATAATAATAATTTAAAACAGTAATTATTCAAATTACTGATTTAAAATCATATCATTGATTTAAAAGCATATTGCATATAAAGCATATTAAATCATTGATTTAAAAGAATATTCTTTTAAAAGCAATGATTTAAGTCAAATATCTTTACAGTATTTTATTTCCGGATTCTAAGAATATATATATTTTTTTAAATGTTTCATTGATATTAAATGCCTTAAATATTTATAAAAATTCTTAATATATGAAAATTATTAAGGTGATGTTTTTTTTTAGTCTGATTTCATTGTTACTGAAAGTTTTATTTGAAGACTGAAGACAAAGGGAAATGAATGTAGATAAAAATGGAGTGCAACTGTTAAATTATAATAATTTATTGATTGCATGTAAAATAGTTTGCTGTTTTACTTTATATTTACATAATGTCCATTTAACTTCATGTTTATTTAAATACAGATGCGTTTAGGATTTAAACTATAGTGAGCCGTCCCAATATGAGCAATCAACACTTCACAGAGAAGGATGATTAGAATTTTTTTTTGTTAACATGGGGAAGGAAGGGTTTGAGAAGTGCTTAAATAAGATATTAAAATAACCTTGTTTTCAATTATTTAAATGTAAAAAAAATTAATTATTACATAAGGAAAATTTTCAAGTTTGAATTAAAGACTAAAATTGGAAAACAATATTCTTCAAGGAGTTTCCGAGGACACAAATTTTGACTACAGAAGGAAAAAATTAAGATTCCGGAAGAATTCTACTCAAAATTCCATTAAATAAAGTAATATGTATTCATGCAAAGTTAAATTTTTTATTTTAATTGAATCCTGAAATTCGGTTACAACTAAGTCAAATTTAAGATAAATTAAGATAATTTAAGTCAAATTTAAAATAAAATTGGATTGTGATTTTGTTATGTAAACATTTGGGGGAAGGAATTTGCTTATTTTTGCTGATGAAGATGGGGGGGGGGAATTTCCGAAAACATATTTACTCAATATTTTAAAGGCGCCTTGAATTAAAAATAAAATTCATAGATTAAGTAATTAATTGAACAATAATACTAGAAATTTTTGTTAATTGTCTTAGTCGTAATTATGCTATTAAAAAATATTAAGTATTATAAAAGATCTTAAGGTAGTTAAATTAAAAAAAAACTAAAATTAATTTAAAAAAAATAAATTTATATTTTTTTAAATTTTTTTTTCTTCTAACATTTAAAAAAAAAATATATAATAATTATGATTTTTCACATTTCCTGTAAGAAATTAACAATTATATAGACATAGTGGCATCGAAAATAAAAAAAGAATGAGAAATATCACATTACACGTGTTCACAACGAAAACGAAACTAACCACACGTGCTTCACTATTCATCATTCTTCAAAATAATTCTTAAAATTCTTTCGTTAACACCTGAAACTCATTAAAAAGGCCCAAAACCTTGTAAGTGCTAATAATTTTTAAGGGAACTGCTTTAATTAAGAAAATTCATTACTAAAATCTTAGATCCATTATCGTTAAACGGTGCTGTGCTTCCAACTCTCTCCGCCTCACTTAGATCACAGCATCAACTCAACATTCTATTTATTATCAAGAACCTGTTTCTTCTCCTTAGCTAACTGTAGTTTCGTTTCCCCTTTTCCACGTGTGGAACATGTGTTGTCATTTAAATCGACGTTGAATTAACCATGTGCGTTTAATTATTTAAAATAAGACGGAAAATATCTTTTTTTATATTAAGTTTTAAAAGAATATCGTCTAAAACCATCATATCATCAATTCTGAGTAATTTTTTGTGCATTAATTCGTCTTTTTTCTTTCTTACGTGATATTAATTAATTGATGTGTTAAGAGTATTCGATAATATAATTAGTGTTTTGGTGGAATAAATTTTTTATTCAAAGCAATTATCCAGTGATTCTATGTGTAAAAATGAGTATTCTTCATTGTGTTTTGATTGAGGATGCATGAGCTTATCAAATTGGATTATTCATTATTATAAAGTTTGATGCAATACTTATGGATTACACTAAACACGTGGGTTAGTACAATTATCTTATTCTTGATTAATTTTATTTTGTAACTAATATAGGCTTTTGTTTGTGAAAAATATTCTTATTAAGAATTGATCGCACAATATTGTTAAAATATATATTCTTGATCGAGGCATGTTTTTAATTTTTCTCGTATTGATACTTTATAGACATAAATATGATTAAATTATTCAATAAATTAAGTGGTACCTAAATAATTATTTTTATTTTAGGTAGATAAATATATCCTATGATAATGTGTAATAATCAAGATGTGTAAATTATATTTATTACATGAAAATATTTATTAAAAACTATATGAAATTATTGTAGGAAACATGAATTTTTATTACTTTCAGAATCTTTTATTGTAGAACAAAATTAAATTTTATAAATGTAATACGATTATAAAAAATAATTAAAAAAAATTGTACTTGAATAAATTGTTACTCTATGTAAATTAATAAATTTTAAGATAAAACTTGAATTAGTAATTATGGTAATGAATTGGTAAATATGTTTTATGTAATGTTAATAATACTTTTTTGAAAAAAAGACTAGATAAAAATATTTTAAAATTATTCCTTGGTATTATTTATTTTAGAAATGCTTTAAAATTAGTTAATTTAAGAACAAAATTATTGTTGTATAACCTTAGTAACTCCTTTGTATTACACAATTATGTATGCGTACATTACATTAGTCCTCAATGATAATCATAAAACTCAATTAAATTGATTTGCGTAATTACCATTGATGTTCAGTTGTTAGATAGAATTTTTTTTTCTTGATAATTTTTCTCAATTCCGAATTTAATAAAATTCTTTTTATTTTAGATCTCTAAAGAGTAGGCAAGTTTTTGAGTAGAAAGATAATCTTACATGCATTCGTAAACATTTATAAGAACATATAATTTAATATTACGATTTAGATTATTCTGTTTTTGATTAGATCATTTTATTTCTGCTCTTCACCCAAGAAACTTCTTTATAAATTTTTAAAAAATATAAGTTTTGTTAGCAAGTTAAGAGACTTTTCCTCTTTGACTGACTGTTGTGGCCAAATGGCATCAAACTACTCTAAATAAAATTTAAAGATGTATTAAAAGTAGTGTTATTTTAATTTTAAGACTTAAAATAAATCAATTATGTTTTACAGTATACTTTAATTGATCGATGTAGTTTGTTTACATTCATTATTTCATACGTATTGTGCAACCTTTTTAAGCCTGGCCTCTTTCTGTAATCAAAAAATTATTTACAAGCCCCATAATTTTATTAATAAATTGAAAAACGTGTTTTTAAAGCTATGCATAATTATAATTAATATTACTAAATTAATTTATATTTTATTTATTTCAAATAGTTTCTTATGATGTTTCCTAAATATTTGTAAAATTTAAAAGAAACTTTTTAGTAGGCTTATATTCAGCATTATTGCATAAATTTTTTAATTTATGTAAAATTGTTTGGAAGCAGTGATTTGAAAGCAATTCCAAAGCTATGATTTGAGTAAAAATATTTTTGAGACATTTAAATGATGAATTTTCCAGCATTGGTAAATGGTTAAGGATAAATTATAACCAAGCAATTAAGTTTATAGTTGCATTAGTTTGTGACATTCACTGATGTTACCTGAAATAGGTAAAAGAACAATATATTAATCTATTTTGTTAGTTTCGCTTGAATTGGGAAGACAAATAAAATTGGATTTTAAATAAAAGGTTTGTATTATACAATCAAAAGATTTAAACACTGTAAATCCAATCCATTGAATAATTTTTGAAAGAGAACGCAAAATAAATTAAGCGTTATTATATTTTAATTCAAACCATATGCTGAATCTTTTCATATTTTCGTTAAAGCAAGCACGTACTGAAGTTACTGCGCATGTCCGTACATGCGCAGTAATTTCAAAACACTGCGCGGGCATGTGTTTCTTCAAAACATATGCAAGTGAGCGTAAATGTTTAAGTAGGTGAGACAGTATTGCTAAAAGTTTCTTTTAAAATAAAGATAATTAAATAAATAAATAATATTTAAAAAAATATGGGGGATATTTTCGTATAGTGGTCTGTCGTGCCAACTACAATCGCCGAGATGCCACATGGATTTTAATCTTGCAATTTTTTTTAAAAAAATAAAACATTTATATGTTTTGGCTACCAGTTATACCTTTCGAGTTAGTCACTTTCTGTGATGTTTTTTTTTTCTTTCTACGCGGGCCGCTGCATGGAAATTGCCAAGACTTGGCGATTATTCTGCAACAGATCAAGATATGGAAATCTCCCCGGAATGTGTTGAAAATTAAGAATATGTAAATGACTTAGATGTGCCCGATGAAATTGTAGGGACCTATTATTGATTTATAAATAAATCTTACCGCTGAAATAATAACCATTTATTATTAAATTTCATTTATAGAAAAAGACAATCTTTTAAATGATATATTGATTTTGTAACATAAATGGGAATTGATTATGTTGTACATTAAATAAATATTGTAATTATATTAATTATTTAAGAGATTTTCAAAAGTTTTGAGAAAACTCTGTGACGAGATTGATTATTAAAAAACTCAATATTTTTATAAGGCGTTTTTATTAGTCCCATTAATCTCTATTATGAAAATATAATTAGTTTTGACTTTAAGTTACATAAACCAATGCTAATAAAATTTGAAAATCAAAATCCTTTTCCAAAAAATAATAAAAAAAGCATGCTCAGCAATATGAAAGAAAAGATATCACATGCAGCAACTCGACAGCCAAGCAGGGGAGTAAGGCAGAAAAGACTAATTTCAGTATCACTTGGGGAAGGAAATTATACCAGCTTTCACTCTTTTTTTTTCTTCATAAAAAATGTTTCTAAAATTCAAAAAAAAAAAAGTCCTCTGATTAGTTGAAATATTGATTTAGTGACAGCTCAATTAAATAATATACAGTGTTTTAGTTTCATAAAACTGGATAAAGCTTTATTTTAGAATAATCATATCGCTTTCATAATGAATCATAAAGCTTTATTTTAGATAGAATTTTCATAAAGCTTAATTTATAAATATTGATACGATAATAAACCTCAGTAATTGTTTCTAGCTAAACTGATATTAACTATATTAAAATTAAATTTTAACGAAATCCCTTTTGTAGGCTTAAATTATTCAAATGCGATTTAAAATATTTAATTGCTTTATGCGTTGAACTATGCCGTAGTAGTTTCATTTGTAAAATGTTAATTGCTTATGGGTGTCATCTTTTAAAAAGTAAAATTTTGTATCAAAGCATTTTTCTTTCTATGATAGAATATTTTTTATTGGATAATATTTTCTTATTGGATTGTGTGAAAAGTTCATTTTTATTTTTTTGAAAAAATATCATTTTTTATCCAAAAGCTTTCTTTTTTTCTTCTTTTTGTTAGCTGCAGCTTTTTTTTTAACAAATTTTATATATTAAAGCTATATTTAAGAAAAATTTTAATTATCAGGTAGCAAGTTGCATTTCGAAATTATCCTGTTTTAAGCCTTTAATTATAGATAATTTTTATCAAAATATATCCATTACTATGGTAAAATATTTATCTCGGTTGTTAGGCTTATCAGTAAAGGAATAATATGGAATTTTGTATTTACCTAAAAGCATATGTACTTTTAGTATCTGCCAACAGATAACAAATAGTAGTTGATAACTAAGAGAAATATAAAGTCTATGTTTATTCTTATATTTTCGACAGTGGTAATTTCTGATAGTAGTTTTTCAGAAAGTAACTAGCATTTTGAATAAAAATTTAAAAACAAGAACTAAATTCGTAAGAATATTTTCTTAGCACTTTATTTCTCTTAAAGTTTAAACTCAGTGATACATTTAGGGGAAACATGTGAAGTTGGACACGTTTTTGCAAAATATTACTTGATAATTTTTATTTATTTTACTATTTTATGAATTTTTTTTAAAATCTCGTTTTTGTTAATTTAATGAAATTTCCTTGTTTGATTATTTGATCGCTTGTAAACCTTGTCATCGATTTATATTATTATTTTTTACCTAAAATATAAATTATCCATCTTATTAATGATTTTAGAGAACAAATTTAAAAAAATTAATCAAACCTATTTAAAGCTAGTTTCTGATAAAAAAAAAAAATTTGAAACCTTCTCAGGTTTGAATCATAAAGATAGTTAAAGACTATTATTCACACACATGCTTATTTCTTGATTTATTTCTAATATTTTATAAAATTTCCGTCGTCTTTCATGCTGAGCCTTTTATCGATTTCTTCTTTAAGTGTTTCTGACAAAATTTAATTTTTTGATTCAAACATTAACAGTCGTTTTGTATAAATTAATTAAAAAAACACTCTAACATAGAAGGTAAATATAAGCAATTAATAGCATCAATGGCACGACAGCACCTGGTGGCGTCTCTAGAGCATTCATTACACCAATTTATTTACTGGCTTTAAGTATATTAATCTAGTTTTTTTTTTACAAAGGATATAAATGTTTAAATAGTGCAACAAAAAATATCGAGTGAGCAAACGTCCCATGTTTCTCCTTATCGTTTATATCTATTTTTAAATTACTTATTTTTATATATACTCCAATTTTTAAAATTAGACTAACGCCAGTTCATTCATTTATCACCTGCGAAATAAGTAAGTTAAATTATATATATCCCACCCGTGCTTCAGTTATCAAATAAAATGAAACAATATCTACTTTTTATTATGTAGTGTTATGCCAAAGCAATTTTAGCGCACAAATACCTAATACTTTTTTTTAATAACTCATTCAAGTCGAACACAACACAGAAAATAATTTGTTATTTATTTTTATTTAATTTTTGTTTTACTGTTATTAGTTTCTTTTAGAATGATGTTTCAATTTTTCTTTGTTAAATAAATAATACGAAAAAAAAACCTTCGTTTACGTTACTAATCGATATCTAAATGAAAATTTCTCAAAAAATAATCAGAAAAAATAAGCAGTATTTTCACATAGGTTTAAAAAATATAAATTTTTTTTCTTCTTCGTAGCTTGCAGTTTTGTTTAATCTTATTTTAGAAAAGCGATTCGCAATTTTTTTCGACTAAGAAACCATAAATGATCGATCTTCTTTTAGCGGAACCCCGAGACTTTATGAAATAAATTTCGCATTTCTGAATATGTTAATCTAAGCAGAACTATTAATTATTTTGAAAATATTCAATGATTGAAATCTTATTAATTATTTTGAAAATATTTAGTGGATGTATGAAGTATGAAATTTTTTAATCATATCGTTTTATCAATATCAGTCTTAAAATTGGGTTTCATGTCAGAAAATTGAATTTACAGATCTATAGCGGCATCTAGTCTAGTTTATAATTTGAATTTAGTGGGTGCATAAAGTGAAAATAAATCAGTTGAAATGGTTTTCGTTGAAATAAAAGTGAAAAATGGGGAAAATAAAAGGCGAAAATGGTTATCAGAGGAACATACATCTTCACTGTTATTTTTATTTAATGCGAAATACTGATGTAGTTTTCTATAAATTAAATCCTTTTCGTTATTCATTTAATGTATTGTTATTTGAAAATACATTTATTATTTCTACTTTTATTTCTTCTCAAGCATTTAGATTAAATAATTTAATGAAAATAACGGAAAAGTAAAATAATGGATAATCAATTAAATATAAAGTTAATAACAGGTTTCGCAAATCGTAACTGATTAAAAACGTCTTATCTCTCGGTACTCCTGTGACCCTTTTACGGAGTTCATCCATGGGTTCCATGAAACATCATTTGGGAACAGCTGTTCTAGACGTTTGTACCACTAAACTACTACAAAACATTTAAAAATTCTTCAAACCAAAAAATAATTTTGGGGCAACCCTTCCAAATTCAGTTAGGTGTTCAGCCAAAGCCTCCTAGAGAAGTGGCTCACTTCTCTAGGAGGCTTTGGTTCAGCGTGCCAAAAAAAAAAACGAACCACTGTAAATAACTTTTGTTTTTATGATCAAATCTTTACGTTCTAGGACTCAATCTTAATGGTTCGAGCGGGTAACCTCAACTATGCTGTGTAATTAGTGCAGACGATATTTAAGTTACGAAATCAGACGCGAAAACGTACTTTCTCTGAATAAACATATATATATATATATATTTGACCCACAAAATATAGGGGGCAGTCACAATCTGGGAATTATGGTCCCCAGAGTTTGATCACGAGAACTGTCTAAAGTTTAAGTTTGAGCCCCTTGATGTTAATTTTACATTTTGCGTATTTCGCCATATCTCGAGAACTTTTTAAGCAAATTGAAAAAATTTTGTAACTTTTTAGTAAATTATATTTTTAAAAGATGTTTAAATAAAAAANACCGTTTTTCTGATTAATTTTTTTGACACCTATTCGACTTTTTTGGTTTGTATTCGAAAATGATATTTTGGAATCAGTTGCGTGCCCCCCCTGCAACAGTCTCGCGCCCCCCTAGGGGGGCGCGCCCCACAGTTTGGAACACACTGCCGTAGAGTATCCTTATCTCCTAGTCTTCCTCTTCGTCATTTCCCCTCTATAAACAAAAGGGTAATCTTTTTAGTGGGAGACGAATCGTTTTATATTCGATTATCGGTCCAAAACTTTTTCTCAGCCCTCTTCCACTTTATTTAGTGTACAGCATTAATTTCCTCTTAGAGCAGCAGGTCTTTCTAACGTCCAGTATAGATTTTCGATGTATTTTAATCCTAACTATCTATTGTTTGAACTCAATTATTTTAATCACAAAAATTATTCAAGATTCAGTATTAATTAAAAAAATATCCTGATTAGAGCGGAACTAATAAACAGATTACTGTCTAATATAGCATTCGAGGTTGAATGCTAGGTAAATCTTTTTTCTTTTAGGTAACTTTTCTTTTTTTTTTTCCTAAGCAAAGCTCATCACCTGCGAGTATCATTTGCATTAAATTGCTTAAGCCGTCCGTTACTAAACATGCAGTTAAAAGAGAGAGGGGAAGAAAAAAAAAAACGATAAGTATAAGGGGTGGGAGGACTAATTTGTACATGAAGGGTTACTTCCGCCTGATTTCGAGGATGACTTCCTCCGAATTATGTAACGCCTACCAAGAAGGCAATAGATATTAACACCAACGACGGCGATATTCGATACACTCGGCGTCACACGCACGACATCCTGCTTCCTTGGCCGTAACGAAAAGAAGAAAAAAAATGTTAGTCTCCATTTTGCTTTCTAAATAGTGATGGGAAAGCTAGGAAAAATTTTGTTTAACCCCCCCCCTCCCATCAAATTAACCTGCCCCATGCCCTTTTCCTACTGCGGCATCTTTGGAGGAGAGCATCAACCGGAGAAAATAGTTGTAATTTGCTTTTACTGATGTGTTAGCTTAAGTACGACATTTATTAATATTCGAATATGTTTGTCTCTCGTTTTAATTTTTAAGCATTTATCAATTGTGATGTAATTTGTTTTTATTTATATTCATTTGTATAATTTATTGTGTGTCTGAAGTGTTTAAATAAATCGGAGAAAATGTTTTCAGGTAGATGGACGGCAATCTCGGAATACGGATTCTGCAATCCTTGTGAGAATAATTAGGTTCCGAAATGGCTGAGAACTCTTCACAAGACGTCCGTAGTTCAATATCGTCGATCTTCGTCAGAATATGATCGCCGATTTCGATAAAATGTGACGCCTTACCCTCTCTAGTGGGATTTATGTATTCCATAATTCTGTGTCATATTTAATTTTCTCAAAATAAAAGTACATTAATGCAGAGACCAAGTATGTCCTAAGTCTCAATTCAAAATTTTCGAATAAGATTGAAAATGAATAAGATTGGTCGTGTTAATTGATGAAGTAAATTTTAAAGAATTTTATGCATCTTCAAAATAAAAACCAATTCCATTTTGTTTAACTTTTTTTTTTTAATGTGGGTGTATTTTATCACTGTGAGTTTTGCATTATAATTTGATAATCATCATCGTCCTTCTGATAAATGATATAATAAAGCTAATTTTTAGTAGTTTGTATATAATTGAGAGATACAAAAGACTGAATTTTTTTAAAAGTATTATTTACTTATTGTAAAATAATTTTATCGAATTACTGAACGATATTACAAGAAGTCAAGACAAAGTCGCTCTAATCTTCAAGACAATTCAAATACATTCCGAAGCTATTATTCTAAATAATAGAGCCTTCCAATCCACAAGCAAATCAATGATTTACTATACATTCAATTACATGTATATCAGATTAAACTCGAGGCCGATGCCTTAGAAAGAATCCAGTTATATAAAAGAGAACCGCAGTTCGTCATAACCCGTTCCCTGTGTTACCATTTCGGGGTCAGTTTGAAAATTCATTCTGACGTTCTTTTAATGAAACGTCATCTGGTTAAGCCTCGTGTGAGACTACCAAATATAGGAATAAGAAAGTGGCAACCAGTTCTTGCTTTATGACAGCTCCGGCCTAGTTGATCTTCCTTGTCACGTTTTCGGCATCAGAGCTCTGTGATGAAATGAAAAGCCATAGATCTTGTTTGAGGTACCATTGAAAAATGATACTTGGCTAATTTTCCATCTTTAAAAGGGTTGCGGTAATTTCCCTTTTGTCTCAGGCAGTGTGGCTTGTTTTTTTTCCATCTTCTTCTTGAGAAGTGGATTCCTCTCCGCATTTTGCAGTTCCGGTATTCCAATTTTCAAGGTTAAGAATGCGGCTATTTCACGTTTCGTGCCGTGACGAATGATGTTTGCGTCTTCTTCATTGTAGTTTCGTTTCTGTTTTTTTCTTCCTCTCTGGATGTTTCTGGTTCTGGTAAACAATACATTTAATGTATTGTTTAGTTAACAATTTTGTTGCAAATGCCACCGTAATCTAAACAGTCGATTTTGTGGATTTTAGATCCATATCAATGCCTAATATGGATAGAAACTTTATTTTAGTTTTTTTTTTTCATGGCGTAAAAACCAACTACATCATCTACATTTTAACATTAACTACATCCAGCTAAGAGAAATCACCTAAAAGGGTGGACGGCATGATGTTTTGCTCCCATCCCAATTTGAGAATATGAACGTATTTCTCCCGGATAAGAGCTTGGAATATAATAAAATTATTAACGCAACTAATAATGTATTATTATTTTTAATTTAAAATTTAGCTCCTTCGGCTATCCATAATTATAACATCATACAAAGTTCATAGCTTAATTCACGGCGAAAGTAATTTCAATATAAGGTGTGTTGCCTGAATGTAGGATGGGTGTTGAAAGGTTTTGCTTGTATTTATGAAATGAACACATGCATTTTTTAATCCCCACACTTTGGCGTGATAAAAAAAAATGCAGTACAAATACACTACAAAATGTTCATTGGGCAACGTTTTGTGATATTCCATAATCTACAGGGCCATCAGCTCAGTAACTGCCACCCTTAACAATGCTTACATTTCTCTTTATTTCTAACTGTACCATACAGTATAGCTCTGTTGTACGAATAATTTTTGTCGTGAAATCGCATGCATTTCCCAGGCTTTCATCTACAAAACGCAACTTTTACAATCATGCAAGGGTGCCCACAGGGAAGTAGCAAAGGATGCAAGTCGCAATAGACAGTTAAGAGAAGGGTGCTTTTTCTTTTAGTATTTTAAATACCTTTTTGAAGCTATAAAACTAGAAAGTAGTGGTGAGACAGTGTCGCTTTGAGCTAATTCTTAAGTGTAAGCAAAAATATTTCTAGCGCACCTTCAATTAAGAATAATAATAAATATGATAATAGTAAATAGTATAATAAATTTTACTTATTTTTAAAAATAAGTCAAAATCTTCAATTTATATACATATAAATATTTTTTTTTTGTTTTTATTTTTTATTTTTTTAGAATGGAATCATTGAGCTCTGAAATAATGAAGAGATAAATACGTAACATCAAATGATTACATTTCTCTCAAAAATAAAAATTACTAAGAGAAAGCTAAGATAGAAAGAAATATGTTTTATACTCTTCTAACAAACTTCGTGCTATAAATATAGAAATTGTGGGAAAAAAATAAATCTCATTATTAATTTATTTTGCTATTTATTTCACGTTGCGAAATTTCATATTGTTTTTTTTTCTAAAATTGATGCATTTTAAAAAAAATTGTGTACTTATAAAATAAATGAAAGCAAAATGACTATAAAACTTTTCAATTAACATTACATAAACTGAAAAGTAATAAAATTTGTACATTAATGATGAATCTATGAGTAATTTGAGCCTGCAATTGCTGATATACTTTTAGAATTTTAGAAACTAATACAAAATTTAGAAAGATGCTTTTTTTTAAAAAAAACTACTGTGTAGCTAGAAATTCAATGCGTGTCTGTTATTCCCTTCTTTTAACATAGTAATTTGAAGAAAAAAAATTGACAAATCGGAAACCAGTCTTTGTCTATTTATTTTTCATAATAAATTTTGTATCAATGGTTATGTAAATAGGGCAATATTATATATTATATATACACACACATAGGGCAATATTATATATACACACACACTGCGTGAGCATTTGTGTTCGTTTCTAAAACGGGGGTCGCGTCTAACTTTTTTCTAATGTCTAATATCGAGTACCAATGTATGTATTCGATAATATTAAATAGAAAAAAGATATTTGATGTCTAAAAATAATTAATATGTCAGTTAATTAATTGAATGTAACTTCTATTGCTTTTCTCTCAATGTGTCACACTAAGGCTCTCGAAGTCAATGAGCTGATAAAAAGAACAAAACAGGGACATTTTAAATTCATTTTAATTTTATGCGACTATCGTTGTTTGTAGGATAATTATCAACCTGTTGTGTTATACTTCCTTATGTCTATCTTAAAAAAACACAAGTTCTGTCGTATTTGTGTTGAATCAACACAGCAGATTATTAAAGGCGTTTAACATTATTTAACATGTTGATAATATAATTACATATTTAATGATGTATGTAGGGTAATTCATTTATTTTATCGCGCTCTTGTACGCATAATCAACATGAATTTTTATTTATTTATATTTCTTTAATTGTGGTCATTGCAGACAAAAAGTAGGGGCTGCCAATAAATTGCGTTAGGGAATTTTAGATTTTTTTTATTTGTTAATTTCGTTTTTAAAAAGTTATAGCTCAACTTTTAAACTGATATAAGATAAAAAAGTGTAATAGAATAAAAAGTTATATATTTGAAGAAGTAGAATATTTGATAAATTTAAACAAATAAACAGAAAATTGCCTATTTGTATCCGAAATTTACTGAAAGACTATTGAACACTAAGTACAATATAGGGATAAAAAAAATATAGACGGATATTTTATTATGTATTACATAAAAAAAAAATTTTTTATAGATATAATTTTAAAATTTATAACTAATTAAAACCAAGATACCTTTTATACAACAATATTTTAACATCAGTGTAAATAGGTCTCTACTTTTCTATAAATCCTTATTTCTCGGTAAATTTGTGTTTGTAAGAAAATATTTTTTATTACTTAATTCAGATTGGATCAAACAATAGTTTTAACAGTCACGTTATTTAAAAGAAAAAATATATAACGTTTTAAAAAAAGTTTGTCAATTCCCAGTCATCATTTTGCAGGGGCAATGTAATCAGCATTTAGAAAAATTGCCGATTTTTTACCATTTATTAAGTGTTTTCCAAATCAAATTAATTCTATCTAATCATGTGTTTAAAATGAATTTATAAAGAATATATATTTTAATGGTGGGCGGACCGTGAGAAAATAGTAGCTTCATGGTTAAAAATTAGTGATGAGGAAAAATTCTAAAGATGTCCCCCCTTTTATTTTTTACTTTCTGGCGGCTTTCAGAGACTTATCCACCTTTCGCTTTCATTTTGTCACACCAAGAAGAATGCGATTGGTGGCGCTCCCATATAAAAACTAATGTCTTAATAAGCCCTGTGACAAACGAAAAATTTCGGGCCCCTCTTAGAACTTTTCCTGGAAGGTAGATTTCAAATCCCTACCAGAAGAGCAACCCTACCTTATTGTGTGAGGAAGCACACCAAGAAGGAAACAAAATCCATCACATTTCATGTAAACATGCAATTATCTTTAGTTACCCATGAGGGGTAGGGATTCTTCTTTTTGTGCCCTACACAATTCACCTTTATTTGGGGAATGGATAAATCATTCTAAAAACCACTAAGCATGTGACTGACAGGGTGGAAGAAGATTTCTGGTTAAAAGAGGATGTTCTAGCTGTGCAGATAGGAACAAACAGCATTGAAACATATTGTTGTATGACAGGAGATAGATAGTTAACCATTGAATATGCAAATGTAATTAACCCTTCAAAATCAAACTGCAGGGAAGTTCTGAGAAAAACTTCTTCCAGGGGGCTAACTACTAGGGTGGTACACAATCTTTGGAACCTATTTTTAGAATTTCGACCAAGATATTGCACCCTAACGAAAATCATAAGTCACCTTGGATTTTAACAATTTTTTCTGTTTCACTAAGGTTTTAAAATGCATGGGGGTAGTTTGAATTACACGAAAAGAAGGGAAAAAAAAGATTTCATAAATTAATGTAATTCTTTAAAAAAGTTTTAATTATTAACAAATAAAAAAAAAGACGACTGATTCAAAATTATAATTTCAGTTCAGCAATTTCATTTCTTTACTTTCAACCAAGAACTAACGCTTATTTATGATTTTTATTACACTAAACAAATTATATACATTTATAATCTTCATTATTACACACGTTTTTAATATACATTA